GGGTTATGAGAACAGGATGGGAACACTAATGGATGGTGGATGGCAGGCAAATTGCCAATTTCGCCTTGGCGATATTTTACGATTTTCTTGCCGAACACAGCGAAGATGGCTTACAGGAAAATCGCTCCCAATTCGGAACTAATACTGAGGGTGTAGAGCTTTCAAGGAAAAAGGAGAATCCGAAGAGTTATTCACGCATAGCAAACTTCTTACAGGAAGGAGGGGTGCCCGGCGTAGGCGGGCGACACCATAAGAAGGAGGGAAGTCCGGCGTTAGCCGGGCGGCCCGACTGGTATGAAGATTTATGATAAGTACGACTTATCAAGGAAACCGTAGTTGCAGGTAACAGTGAGCGAAGAAAGCAATCGTCAATGGTTGGGGTACCAAGTCGATCTGGAACTCATTGAGCCTTTACTTTAGCTTGGACAATTGTATCTTTGAAATAAATCGTAGGAGTGGGACTCAATCAGTTACTCATCATGCGACATCTTCTAGTTGTCTTCGTTTAGATGCTGAATAAAATGATTCTGTCAGTGGCTGTATCAGTTTGCAACAAAGGCAAAGTGACCTTTTCAGAAAAAAATGAGGGGAAAATTGTCCGTGTTCTTTCGATGGATATCGTTGTTGGTTTATAAGTTACATACGAGTGGGGCACAATTTTCATATTAGGCTTTTTCTGAAGAACCCTCGAACGTGGGTTTTGGTGAAATTCTTGGGCAGCTGCATCATTATGCAAAGCAGTATATATTGTGTAGGAACATCCTGGGCGACCGGGATGTTTCACTCAACATATGAGCGTTTTGCGTTTTGAAGGTCGACTGCCGCTACTTACATCATCTCCGCTTTGCAGAGGACATCGTGCTTACAACACTGAACATTGAGCAGGCGTAAAATGCTGGCCGGATTCGGCAGCCGTTGCGAAAGGAGCGGCCTAGGACTGCTGACCAAAGAAGATGTCCATGAGAAACGGATCAGTACCTTATGCTTCCATTATGCTAAGCGGAAAGAATATTTTTGAATGTTCTAGCAACGTGTACCCAGGTCGAGAAGTCAACATGATGAACACCCTAGCCCTCGAGCTGATCATCAAACCAATACTAGGATGGTATTCAGCGCAATGGCCAGACTTTTTCACGAAATGTTGGACGAGTGCTGCTCTACGTTCTTCTCGGGCGAGGGCGATCCTCTGGACTACTTTGACTCGCTACAGGGACGAGTGGAGACGCTACTGACGCTCGCTCTAGGAAATCGATAGCCAGCGGGGCGACAGCTGATAATTGTGGGAGACGAGCAGTAGGAACGGTTTTCTGTAGTCGATTCGCCTCACGCATCTGCCGCGGACCATTCCTTCGCCGTTATTACAGCTCTGGGGTTCCTAAGTCAGCTCAATCGATATACGATCCTTATTTTAGGCATGATTCTACCATAAGTTCCTTTGCAGTATTTCTTACCTGCTGCTGCATTCTGCTATAATTGTGATACGGAATTGGGCGCGCGCAGAGAAATGTTATAACTGCTAATATTTGCTGACTGGTCCCTTTAACGGCGGTGAATTGTCAACGCATAGAGTTTTCGTGATGAAACATTCGTGATTCGTTGAGTAATTCTATAAAAACCTATAACCGNACCTGCTGCTGCATTCTGCTATAATTGTGATACGGAATTGGGCGCGCGCAGAGAAATGTTATAACTGCTAATGTTTGCTGACTGGTCCCTTCAACGGCGGTGAATTGTCAACGCATAGAGTTTTTGTGATGAAACATTCGTGATTCGTTGAGTAATTCTATAAAAACCTATAACCGCTATGAACCAACGTGTGAGGATATGACTTCTGCGTAATCAAAATACTACCAGAGTCTCCCGAGTTCGTGGAGCCCAGAGAGTCCAGGAAGGATTTCGTTAAGCCCTGGTTCGATATCAGGAAAAATGCAATGAAATTTACCCGCCGCGTGGAATATCGAAGAATTTAGGGTATCATTTAAGGTAAGATGAGCTGAGTGCAATGATTAGCTCATCATACTGTGTGTGGTGCCTGTGGTCAACTAATAGGGATTGCTAGCCACTAACTCAAAAGTATTGTTTTGCAAGTAAGCTCAAAGGAGATGGATTCCTCAGTGAACAATTGTTGTTCGTGTGGGTGGTAAACAACAGCAAAGAATTCAGTTATCATATGCCTCAGAAGTGGTAAACTAAATTCACATATAAAACAGCCCAGTTTTCGAGTCTTACTAATTCAACTTTTATAATTGAAAAGTTCCGCATGTCGCACGCTAGACTCGTTTCACTGTAATGAACGGAAAACAGCGCAGCACTGTAATGCCTGCTATAGAGGACACATTCAGTGGGAGCAAAGGACAGGCCTTTACCTTGGCATGTTGTCACGTCCCAGTATCTTCTTTAACTTTCTGGCACTTCCCAACACGAGCCATGTATCAGGATACAAGATTTGAAGTTCCAAGTGGGCGTCCCACGCTACACTCACGCTTATTTGGGAGTGTGGATCTCAGCAACATAAATTAAACTTAGTGTGGTCGGAGGATGCTTCATAACAGCGGAGCTGAAGCAAGGATTGCCTAATCAGGAAATTTTAAACACCATGAAGTGGAGTCCATCAATCTCATTACAGAAATGAGGAAACGCATAAAATTTGGGTGGTCCGACGAGTTATCCACACATTATTCGTCTACATACTGTAATTGAGTTCGGCTTTTTTGGTGGACTGCCTCCTGAACCTGTCATCGAAATGCACAAAAACCTATGTGCTTTTCAGATTTCGCTTGCTTTTCCCCTATTTTAGGTGTTTAACAAACAATAAGGTGGAAGAAATCTATGAATAAAGCGTACGCTTCGTGTCTTCTTTGAACATAGCCTAAAAGTGAGCATGTCGGCCAGTGACATCTGAGCAACAACTCTTTCGACAACATGGAGCGGCAATTTAAACAACGGAAACGATTGTTCGGATTTTTTGCTTCGCTTGCCGAAACATGAAATAGAGTCGTTCTTCTGAAATAATACGCTTTGAAACCCTTGCCAGGTATTTCCTACACCACCGTAGTCAACCGTAGTCCTAGCACTATAGATTGAGCGGTTTTTTCTGATGAGTAAGATCCAGTCCTTCCTCGTTTTTTACTTAATTGCTGGTCAACTATGAGTTCAGCATTCAGTGTAATTCAGTGTTCGAGAAAAGCTGCGACAATGCGAGATATCAAATGCATGCATAGACCGCAAAAGAAACCCCCACATATTTGGCATGTCAACACACTGTCATATACGATTCAAAGTAAAAGCTTTTGTTCTCCATTCACAACTACTTCATCGCATTTTTACTGTATTGATTCAGCAGTGAGCTGAAGGGACGCCATTCATGATAAAGCAGCCTTGCCCACGCATTTGATTCGATCAACCTGGTTCGAACATCCCCATTTCCACTTTTAAGCTAAAAAAAAGCCAAGAAAGCAACCCACCTCAAAGTGAAATTCCCTCTTTCGGGAAATCTTCTCTACCTCACGAAATGGACGCATTTCGCTTTGCCATGACGCATTGAATCTTCTCCTGCAACAAGGGCATCTGTAAAGACTACATTCTTTGGGGGGCGAGACCACCGCTCCTCACATGAACCGAGTAAGGCGAGTAGATGAACTGAGACTTACTACGCTTCTCATGAGCTACTAGACTGAGCTCAAATGATAGCTACTTCTTATCTGTATCACAGCTACAAAATCATCAGTAGAAGGTCTGCCTTTTAGTCCTGCATTTCCATGAAGGACCTGGATCCAACCATCTGCCCGAGGGAAAACGGTAAGCAAGAGAAGCTGAAAACTCGCGTCCAAATCACGAAATCGAATCTTCGAAGAAAATCGTGCCTGAAAACAAGAGCACTAGGGCGGCAAAAGAGCATTCTGAATTCTTATGCCTCTCATTACGTTGGAGAGAAGTGAAAATAATAAGATGCTAAGAGCAGTCCTGATTCAAGATATTATGAAAGCTCACACTTCTGGTTGTACCTACAATATCTCGTCCCTTCTACTGCATTTGAAAATTTCTTCTGCTTTTTATATCGAATATTCGCTATCACAATTCATCAGAAGACAATTTTCATCTCTTCAACATTCACGAAGAAAATTTTGTTCTTCTGGCTTTATTTTGCCAAAGATGAAATTTGCTAGTGATTCATTGTTGAGCAGATTTCCTGATTGTAGAATAGTTATTTGCTCTTCTCCTTCTCTTCTAGAAGGAGACAATAGAATAATCTCAAGAATGCAAACTATGGAATCCCTCACATTCATTAATACTTTGCTTCATCAAACTTTCTGCACCTCACTTTCATGATACTAGTTCCAATACAATCTCCTTCAGCCTCCTCTTCACAAGTCGCTGAAATAGTTCTGATCTCCTATACAAGAAGACTCATTGGCTCAGAGAAGTCATTGTTAGCTGAATATGTTGATTCATATGAAGACTGTGGGGTGAGGGAGGTTGCCTTCATGAATGGGATCGTCAACACGTCAAGCACAATTAGGAGCATAGTTAACAATCAACAAATTTATCGTCAGCCTTTTTTCTGTTGATAAAGCTTGCTTCCATTCGATGAATTCGACCAAAATATCGACTTTTCCTAGGCTTTCGCTCGCGGCAGTACACTTGCCGAAGAATCACTTTTAAAACGTCACTAATAGAGAGCATTTGTACTTTTTATTTTTCTAAATCAAACAAAGTAATCGCCGCAACTGTATAATCAATCATNCAGGAAGTCCCGAAATTGCGAGCGCATATAAATTGCAATGCTTTGCACCCAGCTTGAAACTTGTGGCAAAATGTAATCTATGTCAGATAGGAGTGACTCCTTAATCATTGCCTTTTTCCCAAACCCTCTATCATGATTCTTTGAGTAGATATTATTCAGCTGATGAGCTCCAAAGATTTTGGGGTGTGCGACGTTGACTAAGACTGAGACTACTTCGCACCGAGGTGCAAAGTGATCTCAATCGTGAACTTTATTACTGTGTGAGTGGAAACTTTACCGATTCTGTTCGGAAGAGATCTGAGCGTGTTGTGGTGAAAGTGATAAGAGGGCATGGGGTGGGTCCAGAAACGGAGCAGCTGGTTCAAGCCCAACGTTGACAGCTTTTACTTACGAGCTTGGCTTTCTAAGTTGTGATCGCTCACATGAGAAAAGATTGATTTTTTAGCACTATGGAAGACAACATTAAGGTCTAAATTTTAGGACCTGATCTGCCACTACTGCCTAGCTTGGGGGCCACGGAAAGCTTATTCAGTTATTCATTCAGCACATGATCGATGACAATTGTTTCCTCTCTGTGGTATGGAAATAATAGCTAATAATAAGGTGGACGTGATTGGGATATAGCCTCTTCGAACAGTCCACTTTGATGGGCCCACGAAATGTGACTTCGAAATCATTACGCACGAGCCTTAGCGTATCATTGAGCACTTTCAGGCAACGATTCACCGACGAAACGACCGACCGTCCGGCCGACGGCATTGCTGGCCTCGTGTTAAAGACAATGAACCGATGGATACCGCTCACGTGGCCTTCAACGCAATGTGTCTTGCATGGTCAACACATGGCCAGCAGCGCCGTCGGTCGGTCAGTGGACCGTTGAACTCTGAGGGCATGCGCAACCCAGTTGACCCCTCTTCTAATTGTAAGCTTCAGCATCGATTCTGGGATAGGCCAATTTAACATAATTAACATACAACATATGATATCGCTAACGAATGAGCTTCACCTAAAATAAGCCAAAGCAAGGATGCAGCACCACAACGACAATGCTGTTCTTCACATAACTGAAGATTGAGGGCTCCTCACTTATAATCCCACAACAATAATTTATTGAATGATAGAAACACGAGAAAGTCGCTTGTGAAAACGTTAAGTCATTTGTGGCTAAAAAGTGTCGGCTTAGGAGGAATGACATCCCATGGTGTACATCACCACCCGGAAGCGATCAGGCCTACTACCGCGGGTTTTGCGGAATCGAAAGGACCAATCGATGTTTCATTTCCGACAAGCCTGCTCCGTCAGTTGGGCGAAGGAATTCGTTTTTTTGCGTGGCTCACGTGATTTGAAAATAAAGAAAATAAAGCAAAAAACGGATACCGGCTGTTTCCAGAACCAAAAGGTTGAATTCCTCCACTTTAAGTGTGTTTTAGTGAGTTCATAGACATTATTTTTTAGTACTCATTAAACGATGCCTTTCGCCTTTGCGAATCTGATACGAGCAGATAGCGAATTAAAATTCTAAGCAGGCTCGCTGATCGATAACCACCGATAAGTATGGCCAAAACCTTTCAAGGAGCAGGGGAAACGGTAACCATCTGCATTACCAGACCCAATCAAA